GTACGAAGTTTGCCGGGTCAGCTAGTGTTAGTATATATAATTTAAAATTGTTCATTAAAGAATTCATATTTAAATGCTGAGGTACAAAATTAGCTATACAGATTCTAGTGTCACATGTACATGCGCATCATATTTGGAATCCTTTTTCCATTTTTGGACATTTCTCGACTTCTGAGAGAATTCAAAGAACAAAAAATATGGCATTCTTCGAATGTCAAGCCAATTATGATATACATTCAGTCAGGCTCCGGTTTTCACTTTCACAAAATATGTGTGATTTACTTTTCAAAACGAAAAGTAAGGCGCTTCAGCATTCGTAAAATGCGCCATTGAGTTTGTGACCTTTCTATAAATAGTTTTAATTTAAACAGACCTTAAAATTGGATCTGCAAAAATTGGTGTGTGCAACAACAAAAAGGTGAGCTCGTCCGAACAGCTATGGCAGTCCGATTTGGCTATCGATAAATCTCTTTTAAACATAACAGAGGTCTTTTTGTATGAGATGGTACTAACGCAGTAAATTTGGCTCTTAATAGCCTTTTCACACTGGGCGCGTTTCCTGTCGATATCGGAATAGACGCAATGGAGCAGAAAAAGCGTTCACGTCTTGAGAACTGCTGAATTGGGTGCTTGATGACAAGAAAAGTAACCAAATTTTGCGAAATCAACCGAATAATGTAAGACGACAAGAAAATAAAAGAAAGAAAATTGATTCTCATATATATTTATTCATTATTTTCAGACATTTCTTTGTAGATTTTGTGGGAGTTCTTCTTCAAAGCCTGAAATCATAAAAGTTCTTCTCCAGTTCTTAATGGCCCCAGGGGTCACAAAAATTTCGTATGATAATAATAGAATCAGCTTAAAGTATTTTATATAAGGATTTTGTGTATATTTTTACCTTTTCGCACAACCATAAATTTTTGCCCCAAAATTTTGATTGTTGATTTACAAGTTTTTGTTGTTATTAGTGGTAATAGTTGCGCTGATATGCAGAAAAGTGCAAAAATGTGCTGTTAAGCGCAAAAGCAATCGAATATTTCGAATAGACGCACATGCATCCAAAAGTAACGCTACTTTTTGCCACCACTAGAGCCCTATGCTAAACCTATGTACAAAAAAAAACTGCGTCTCCGGCAAGACGCAAAAAAGCATTGAGCAGCTCATGATGCATTTATATAAGTTGGTCTCGTCGGCTGCCGATTCGTTCGGTTTTTAGAACCTTAACGTTCAGTGCGTGCTCGCTGTTGAAGAGAAATTTTGCGTGCGGAAAAAGTATTTAGTATTAAGAGCCTACACAATTCTAAATTATTAAAAATTAAATTATAAAAAAACATCAACTCTTTTTTATAACAGGCAACTTTAAACCACATGTTCCATCTGAGGGTTAATCGACACGCTCTTTTGTTGTTTCACTCACACTTACTGCGCTGAGCCCTTTCACTCGCACTTATTGTAAGCATTGTTAAGGGACTACATTTGCCGACGAGACCAGCTTATATAATTGCATCATGACGCAGCTTTAGTCTGAAAAGCTTATAACAGTACAGAGCGTACATAAATCGAATTTGCGGATTCCAGAGCGCCTTAGAATGAAATATATGACTTTTATTTGAAAAGTAAAACGCAAAGTGAATGTGAAAACTGTAGCCTGCCGGATTATGTATATTAACATGTATACTACACATGTTTATATCCGATTACCCATTTTTGTATTCTATATTAAAAATATACCAAGGAACGTTCGCTGAAAATTCAGTTGCTACATGTTCGTTTTTCTAACTGGCACATCTATGACTGTTGTCATAGCTACACAGGCAACTGGGTATGCAAAGTTCCAAAAGGTATTTAAAGGTCTGTCTCCAGCACCACGGAAAATTCCTTCCATGAATTTGCTAGTTATTCCGTGAGGGTGTGGAACATAGCTAAAAAAGGGTTGATGAATCAGCTGTGTTTTGTAAACAGTGTCAACTGTAAAATTCTGCTAAAATTAAAAAAGGAAAGAAATGCACTCTGATGATGAAGTGATTGTGTTGGTGGCGGCATATTTTGTTGCACAACAAAAAAGAATAATTTGCATCTTTCTTTTTGGTTTTCGGACAGTTTTTGCCCACATCTTGCACCATTCACTTCAGGAAGAATTGTAAAGTATATATTCCTGAGCTGTTCTCTCAGTCCACACACGGTCCCGATAGGCAACTATCGATATAAATCTGTGGATTCGGCTCGTGTTGCTGGATACACACTCCAGGAATACTTAAAAGAAACATTCCTGTCACAGTTTTTTTATATGGAGCTTGACAGTAATTTTTCGATTCCGCAGTGCTGGATACTATGCTTAACGGTAAAATGTGGTTTTCGGAGGGTTGGCCAAACAATTTTAGCTCGACCGTTAATCCAAATAAGTTTATGATTTTTATACCTTAAACGCCTTAAGCGCTTACATTTGAAAGCTTTATATTTCCCACAGGGTAATCTGAAATAAAAAAGTTTTTCGGTAGTAAAGTATAGCTGCATTTATTTGCTTTTTATAATGGCAGTTGTTTACAACCAGGTGTAGATATATGGTGGAGAAACATCGATGAAAAAATCCATGCATCGATGTTTTTAAATTTTTTGGAAACATCGATGTTTAATGGCGACTATCGATGTTTTTGCAAGGTAAGTAAAGTGAGGGAAGCGTAGAAGGTATGTGTAAAAATATAATTATACAGGGGTGCCACAGAAATCACAAGTGAAATGGGAAACCGCGCAGAGGATTTCCGCTTAAAAATTTCCAACGTGCCACAGAATTCCGAGCGATTTCATTTTTCTTAGCGTTGTCACAAACCAAATTCGAACTAAGGCTAGGGCTGACACCTTTCAATTCAATTCGAATAGGCTTCATTTTGCAGTTTTATTGATTTTATCATATCAAAACAATTGGTTTTTAATTTTTTCTTTTATGATATAAAATAATTGATTTTTCAAAGCTGTACTGTAGCACTCTAGCAGTTGTCTGGCAACTCTCCATGCATGGCAGCAATCAGCTGTTAAAAGAAACACACATCTGAATTTTACGGTAAACTCAACTAAAATGCTTTTACCGAGACTGTTGGCCATCGAAGAGCTACGGAGGCAACATTTAAGAATAGAAAGCTTGCAGCGCAGGCTTCTTAGATGCGCATCGGACTCGTTTTCATGTTCAGACGATACGTATGTGGTTTTCGTGATTGTCTCAAACTACTGCTAATTTGGTTCATTAAAATTAACTGTTTTTGGTATAATGATCGCTATGCTTCTATTTGTGCTGGCATGGGTCTGCACATAGACGAACAGCGGTTTTTGACATAAATGCAATGGCAATAATGTGTAGAAATGGTTTGTTAGTTTTGTTTTGGCATTTTGAAGCGATGCCACCTGGCAGAACTACAAATGACTACAAATGTTTTCACAATTTGCACAAGAAGTTTGACATAAAGGAAGTTTTACTACAATAAGCTATTTTTTGTAATGCTTAATTAAAGAAAAACAGAATGCTTTCAATATAATTAATATTAAATACATTGCTCCGCATTCGAATTAAAAAAGGTTGCATTACTGTATTAACTTCGAAAGTCCGAATCGCCCTAGGTGGCCACCTCGGTCTGCAGCGGATTGAGAGCGGAATCGTTAAATGAAGATTCAGTCAGCGGATTGAATAGTGATTTACTAAAATGCTTATTTTATTAACTTAACATGTATAATGTTAAATTATTTGGATGAGGGTTAATCACCAATTGAACAACCTTTATGGGAAAGTAAGATTCGAATCGTTTAAGGTGTGTTTTATGGGTGTATTTAATCAAATCGCTGGATAAATTGTGACCCATTTTGATTCCGCTGAAAAATCGGTGTGTGGCACCATCGTGCGAGTCCGAAATGTCTATCAGCTAGGCTGAATAGATCATATCGGAACGTCGCACCAGACTTAAAGTTGATGTCGTAGATAAACTTATGTATCAATAAGAACCAAACCATTTTCTGTTAAACTTATAGAAAAAGTTTTGTAATTTGATCTCATTGAATTTGTTTTTCTTTTTTGCTTTTACGAATATTATTTATTTTGTTATACTTAAGTAATGTGAAAAATAGAAGTGCTCGAAAAAATAGCATATAAAATAATACTTTTGTTTTTAATTATATAAAACAATTAAAAATCTCCAAAGATATCAGAAAAAGTATTTTTATTTATCTGTGCAAAATTTTCACAACCCAAAATTTTGTTTTTCAATGTATGGCCATGTGCTCATTGATTTTGACAAAACAGAAAAAGCTCAATGGGAAAATCATACAGTGAGAGAAATATATGTTCGTCAGCTTAGCTTTCCAGTTGAGCCTGTGAGCAGAGCTTCTGAAATGCTTCAATTGCTACACTTTTCAAATCCAATTATGCTGGCATGCTGTCTATGTGTTGGAAAACATAATTTTGTTTCAAATAGTGCCTCAGTATGCAAACGATAATTTTGTCACTCTTGATGTCTCTCATCTTATGCAGCAAAATTAGCTAAATCTAGCAGGGATCGAAACGGCCCTTCTTAAGTGTATAGGAAAGGACGCTGCCGCTTACGTGTTTCACAGTGGTTGTTACCGATTAAATGTTCCGTTTTGATTGCTGTCTACGCACACAAACGCATTGCAAAACATGTAAATGTGTGCGTATAATATGACAACAGTGTGAATTGGTGTTTCATGCATTTCGATTTCGATTGTTTAAATCTTGTTCATATTTCATCGTTTCAGAATAGACCGAAATTTAGTTCTCTATCTTTTCTCATATTTTTATTAATGTTTATGCATTTTGGGGTAAAGGTTGAGATTTTTTTATTGTATTGTCTGTTTCAACAAAAATATTACTATTATTAGGGTGCAGTTAAAAAAAAAACATCAGAAACTATTATTTCATTTTCCAAATTCTGTGTGTTTATCTGATGTATATGTTGTATATTTTTGTAGCTATGGTTGCAAGAGCATCTATGTACATACATATGAATGTACATATGTATAACATATAACAAACTTAAAAATAGCAAAAATGCCAAAGAATAAACTTGTTACGGCTCCAAAATTGACTGTATATTTAATTATATTTTCTTTTGTTATTTCCAGCTAGCTTTGTATCCATTGAGACGCCCATATCCGAGAATTGTGTTCTTAACGATCCAAAATCGAAGTGGTTTCGGAGTTTATTCGATTTAAGGGGGATTTATTGCTGATGGTCGGTAAAAGCTTCATTGGACTCAATATCCCAACCTTATTTTACATTTTATGTAAGTTGGCATTACTTACTGATTTTGTGGTAATGAGAGTGCAGTGCAGTGCAAAACGAGGACAAGTTTTTAACAGCTTTTACCTAAATGATGTAGTTACATTTTCTGAGAAACTGCTTTTGTGCAATATTTTTTAACTGGTAAGTATTACACCAGCTATGTACATACATATGTCGTTTAGTTTTTAATCGAAAGGACACTTAATATTATATCGATCGGTTCCATGTCATATAAGCAAATACATATATTTGTGATGTAGAGGTATTTTTTACAGATTTAAGGTGAAAATTCGTAACGTTTGGATATACATATATGTATATATATATATATAAATCATGTATATAAATATTAATATTATAAAAAATATTCTACATGAAGACGAATACCAATATGTAACCGGTCTCCTTGTCTTTAATTTGCACAGCCGATAAATGTTTTACCGAAAGCTGTACATATGTAAATGCAGCTAAGCTGAGCAGAATAATTTGTTTAAATTAGCTTTAAATAATCATTTTAATTTGTTTACATTTTGATTTTATACACTTTTAGATAATAAAGTATCTCTTGTTTATATGGACAGTTTTGATTTTTATTTTGTGTTTATTTTGCTGCTACATATGTATTTATATAATATAGATTACCCCACGTGCATTCTAACTTGTTGCTTGTTGGGGCAGAATAAATTAATTGCTTTAGACCTATTAAGGATATATGAAGTTTAAAAATTGTTGCTAGCGTTGGCGAATATATCTAACTTAAAACATTGACTACGACGACAACATGACCAAATACCGGCCCCCTTGAAGGCCTGCGCGGCTTCGAGAAATTGGTAGCGGCGACAACTTGTGGATGGGCTGCCGAAAAATGCCTCCAACGCTCCTCCTAAGGTCGACGACCCTGACCATGCCGTCCTCCCCGGCGATTATTCTTCCGAGGAGCCACTCCTATGGAGGCATGTTGTCCTCGGCCACGAGGACGAGGTCTCCCTCTTTGACTTCGGGCTTCCGTTGGTGCCACTTGACCCGAATTTGCAGCCCCAGGTCATATTCTCGGGACTATCGCCGCCAGAACGTTTGCTTGACTGACAAGGCAAGTCGCCATCGCCGCAAGCAGCTGAGACCCTGTTAGTCCGGTGGTCGCAGTGCTGGGGGGGCGATGAGCTACCCGCCTGTCAGCTGTGTCAGTGCTTCGCCGTCGCTGGGATCTTGGCAGAGGGCTCCCATCGGCCTGGAGTTCCGGACGGCCTCGATCCCGACGAGGACTGTTGCGAGCTCTTCGGCGGTCAAGAACACGCTGCCTACCGCCAGTAGGAGTAGGCTCTTCGCAGACTTGACACCTGCCTCCCAGAGTCCTCGCATGTGCATCGCTCGTTGCGGTATGAATGCTGATTCGCATCCGCTTTTTGACGCGAATCCGCGAACTGCGTCCTCCCCGTCCTCGAGCATCTTCTGCAAAGCGCTGAGGTTGCGGCTCGCTAACTGGGGAGCCAAGGAAATTTGTTCTAAACCGTTTGGTCGCAAAGGACGCAATGGGCCTTCCTCGAATTTTCAATGTCGTCGAGACGGGTCCACAAAAATCAACGCCGCAAATTGAAAATGGGCGGAGAGCACGGAGCCGGTCTGCGGTTAAATTTCACATAAGTTGCGTCAGGAGTCGAGGCTTGCATTTAAAGCAGCGGATACACGATCGAACTGTCTGACTGCAGACCTCCTGAGCGTTTACGATCCAAACACTCTGTCGAAGGATGCTCACAAGTGCTCGTGGGCCGACCAATTTGTATGCAGATGACGAGCATAGCTCCGCACGGACTGCGAGCGCCTCGTCAAAAGCAACGGAAACTTGGCATCGTATGATATAGGTGCTTTAGCTAGTCGCCCCCCTACTCTGAACAACGAAAAAGTACACCAAGTACCAGTGTCTTCATGGATGAATATGTTCAACCGCTGAAGACTAGGACCAACTCTAGATCCTTTTCGAACATTTTCGATTTCCTCACGATACTCGTGGTTTTGGATAATTTCAACCTCTTTAAGAAAGGCTTCATTATACTCGGTCGGTGAGACTGTTTTTTCAAACTTTATGCTCGGATTCTTACATTTTCTTATAAAGCGGAACATATAACAAAAGACTCTAAGCAGCTTGAGGTGTGACGAGAATCCCTCGATGACATCTACCAAATCCGAAATTTCCACCGCAGCGGTCAGCCCGTCCGCGTTCTTCCTCCTCTCCAGCCCAACATCTTCTGAAGGATCGAAATAAGGGTTTTTAGGCCAGTTTTCTTCTTCATCCTTTAGAAATGCGGGTCCTTCAAATCAGATTGACTGGGAGATTTCTTTGACGTCACAACCTCTTGACACAATATCTGCAGGGTTCTGTTTCGTAGGGCCATGCCGCCACGTAGCTTCATCTGACTACTCCTCAATCTCAGCTACCCTATTCGAAACGAACGTCGACAACGAAGATGGATGCGACCGAATCCAGTGAAGATTTACTTCAGAGTCTGACCAATAAACAGCTCGTTCGATAGGGACCTTTATAAAGGGGTTGATTCTGTGACAGAGATCCGCGAGAAGGTGAGCGGCACAAAACTCAATCCGTGGGCGTCTTGAGCGGTCTTGAGCTCAATACACAAACCGAGGTATGGATATCTCTTCCAATTGAGACAGTGTAATTTTCAACATATTCCATGCTGTTTTCAACTGCATCGGAATTGACTCATCTCAATCTAGTTTGTTAAGCCACAGTGCTGCAATAGGATCTTGTCCTTTATAACGATAGGACTTAACAATCCAAGGAGGTCGTACAACTTCGATGTCACCGACAGTATGTTCCGTTTTGTCGCTCGGAGACCCATGACTTCATTGTCAATTTTAAACTGAAAGGCATTTTCCTTAGGTAACCATGAGATTCCTAACGACTATGTTGATTCAGAATCGTTATGCTATGCTATGCTCTCAGATGCGGTGATCTCAGGTGAGTTCGAAAACCACTTCGCCAACGGACCCAATATCGTCAGCAGCTTTAGGGAATGATAGCTTTGCAGACTCACTAAACCTTTTTAAAAACCGGATAGTCAAAAAGGGGGCTGGTCCAGTCCCAAAAGTCACGGTGTTAAGCTTGTATAATCTCAAGGACTCAGATGGCTCTCTTCTACACATTATCATCTAAAAACTGCCTATCCGCTTCATTCACCATTACTTGGCGATACCGCCGTTTAGCAACCTCGAAGGAGTTGCACAAACAATTTGGATCTGATTTAAGCGGCAGCCTTACTTCAAACCGACCTTTTGGCAATACCTGAGTCGTCTTTCGAAAGTGATTTTCACCTTACGAGTGTTCAGGCGAAATAATTTGCTTTGGAGATGGCATTTATTCCAGTGAGCAGAATTTTTGCAAGGTCCTATCAATGGAAACTAACAACTCTTCACTGCAACTCAAACTGTTTGCAGTTTTGGGGGCAGAACTTTTGGAAACATATTTTCCCGAAGAACCCAAGCCAAGAAGGGTCTTCTGAAGAGTTGGATAGTCAAGACCTTGCTTGATTTGACCAACAGCTAATAACTTAAAGAATGATTCAGCTCCAATCAGCATGTATATTCTTTGTGGCTTATAGAGATAGGGGTATGCCAGTGGTAGTTTCTCTGGGATTTTCCAATCAGTCACATTAACTGACTGGTCAGGGTGAAAGCCTGAAATTGATTTAGGGATCCAAAAATCAAAGGAGAACCCACTACCATTTATACGCGACTTCACCACAGCGTGTATTTTAATCTTTACTTGAGAATTGGATTCACCAATACCAAGCAAGGTAATACACGACTACTCTCTACGGATCTATAAGCGGTGGGCGAGGACTTTCGTGATGAAGTTTTTTTGGGATCCAGAGTCAAGGAGAGCTCTGACCAAAATGTGTTCACCGTTTTGTTCTGACACTTTCGATCGATGTAGCCAAAATCACCCTGTCCAAAGAAGTCGCATGCAGAGCATGAGAGGTGGAAGGGTGATCCTGATTTAAAGGAGGAGACGAACTTTCTGGGGGTGGCGGCAACGCGAGACTATTATCAGTCACTGTGTATCGATGCAACAATGTGTGATGTGAGCGGCCACAAACTTGACATTTGGCGACCTTGCATTTTACAACAGTGTGACCCTTTTACAGACAATTAATACATAAGGATGCAGACTATGTGAACTCGAACCTTTGCATAACCGAGGGACATGAATTGCAATAGCTAGCTGAGCTCTACTGTTTTTGGGGGGAGTGGAAGAACAAGCAAATAACTGCGATTGTGCGACTTGCTTGGCATGACTTTTTCGTGCCTTGGCTTTGTCGACTCTTCCGCAGACAAATGCTGGTATCGACGATTCAAAACCCTTTCAAAGGACCAAAGCGGCAACTTTTCGAAGCCAAGCTGTTCTTCCCACTTCTGTCTAGTCACTGGGTCGACTCTGTTCAAAACGAGATGCGGGACGATGCGGACTGTTGCGAGATTTTTAGCAGATTAAACAGTGCGGAGATTTGGTTCGAAAATATTTGACACTCGTTGTCGTATACTCGCTTTAGGTTGCCGTGGCCTTTGCATAATTGGCCTCGGTGACTTTTATTGTTCCTTTTATTGTTCCTAATGCTTCAATAGAGAGGCATGAAATTAAATGATTAAATTTTTCAATCACTGGTATACTATCATTATTATGAACAAGAGTCTCAAAAAGGCTAATACAATTTTTATACTCCGAATATTTACCACAAAATTTTGGTAGGGACAATTTCGGAAGTCGAGCACGAGTTGGGGCTGTAGAAGCTGATACCGAGGGCGGCGTATCGCTTGTTAGCTTCAAGGCTAACAGCGCGTCACTTGCATAGTGACAACAAAAACAATCTACCCTCAAAAACAGGGTAGCGCGTTACTTGGCGCTCCGATTTGAGCAAGCGCGGCAACGAAGACTCTTCTAAGCAATAAACATAAACGGTGGATAAGCGAAAGCGAGAGATGAAAAGAATGCACCTGTGCAGCTGCTGGTATTTTTGTATGTATGTATGAAAGTAAGTGTTATAACCGTGACTTGTTTTAACGAACGAACTTTTTGGCGAATTTCAAACAACGTGATGGGAAAAGCGGGGGTAATGTGATTGGGGTAAACGAAATATAAAATTGTGCTTCTATAGCGCTGTTCAAATAGAGTCATACGTCTGTGCCAAGAATTGAGGTGCGAGGTGCAATTTTTCCAGCACAAGACAATTTATATATGTATGTATGTCTTCGGCTCTAGCTTTCAATTTTTTGCACAAATACCTCAGGCTCTGCCTTTGGATCTTTAAGTCCAGCTGCCTGCTTGCAGTCCGTGCAATCACACGGGGCCATTCGTCTTTTGGGTTGCAACAACGGTATCTGATGGTGAAGCAGTAGGAACAGCAGGGTAGCCGCAACGATCAGCAACAAGCTGGTGAGGGTATTGCGCGGCCGATACGATGGTTTTGGCAAGGCTTTAATTTTTGGATACACAAAACACGACGCGGGCAACGATACAATAAACATTTATTTTGTATATATAATAAATTAGTTATATTAATTATAACTGTGTATGTGTATGTTTTTATACCCGTACTCAAAAAAGAGTTAAGGGGTATATTAGATTTGTGGTGAAAGTGGATGTGTGTAACGCAGAGAAGGAAACGTTTCCGACCCCATAAAGTATATATATTCTGGATCAGCATCAATAGCCGAGTCGATAGAGCCATGTCTGTCTGTCCGTCTTGTTTGACGCCTGGATCTCAGAGACTATAAAAGCTAGAGGAACCAAAGACTCATGTGATATTACACTGCTACAAGTGTATTTCAAAATTTCGCCGCGCCCCCTTCCGCCCCCACAAAGGACGAAAATCTGTGGCAGCCACAATTTTAAAGATACGATAAAATTAAAAACGCAGTATCGTAGAGAATGACCATATCTATCAGATTGCTGAATCTGAATCAGATCGGATCATAATTATAGCCAGAATGAAGAAATTAATTTTCAGTTGCTTCCCCTGCCCACCCTCCAGCAAACGACAACGCAACTCATTTTCCTTCTCGCTCGCACACTCTGCCGCGTTCAGTGCGCGAGCAACCCCTAGCGGAGGAGATGTAGAATCTAAATGGAACATGTACATTGTACAATCTACATGTTAGATGTAGAATATACATTGTATATGTAGATGTAGATATCAGATGTAGCAAAAAAATGTAAAATGTAAAATTTTTTTTTTTTCTAAAATTCTAAAAAATCATAAGCTCAAAAATGTATTTACTGACTGAGTACATGTATAAGTAGAGTCGCGTCCCCAGAAGCGACTCACACGTTCCTTCTCGTTTTGTTATACTATTTGTGCTATCACACAGATATATTAGTTCTGTGGTCGAAGTAGATGTGTGTAACTCACAGAAAGAAACGTTTCCGAGCTAGAGCATCCAAATTATATTTTCTCCCGTAAATTGGTTGAAGTCATTTATTGTAATACCCTTTTCACACTGGCGACCATCCACCATCCATTGCTGGGATGGTCCGTAAGTCTTTGCAGCTCAGAAAATTTTCAAGTTCTTTTGAATCCATCCATCTAGGAATCTCTGAATCCATCCATCGATAATTTTTAAATGAAACCATAAATATTTGTCATTCACAACAAAAGAGTGAAATTCACTGCGTTAATGTAAAGAATGACTGACAAGAAAATGGGGTAAAAACAACAACAAAACATCAGAATTGTCTCAGAAAGTGAGCTAATTTGTGGACTATCCTCTTGAAATTCGTTTATAAATGCTCTGCAACACTCATGCATGATATTGCACACGCTGTTGGTTGACACCCCGAAAAGCGTTCCAACTGTTCGGTACTCAGAAGAAGAGCCCAAAGAATACAATGCTGTGACGATAAAAAACTCTTCTTAAAAAACAAATCGTTTTCAGGTACATACATCTTTCTCCCAAAATGTCCCGAGCCGATAGCACTTATATTTGTATTTGTATGAAAAACATTGATTGGATTTAGTCGAAGCAGTCACAAACGACCACAACCTTCCCGGCCTCATTGTTTTCAAAACAGATATCAAATCTAATATCTCCTCCTCGTCAATGCTGGCATCATCATTATACATGTCCAGAAATATGATTAGTTTGTGCAAGAGTATATTTTAGTTCTGAATCAGATTCACAACCATTGCATTATTATTAATTTTAATTATTAAAGTAAAATTTTCCGACCCCGACGTGATATAAACTTGCTAAGTTTTATTGCAAAAAACATAACACTTGTCGCTGGATAAATTCGCTTTGAACCACGGTTTTTTCGGTTCTTCGTTTGTGCACAAGCAACAGAAACAGTTCTCGCATCATCTGCTTTGCGGTCTGATTGCTTGCTGTTGTTTCGTTTCGGATTCGTGCTCTCAGTATGCATGCCTTTGTTGTTGTCGGATGCACAAGTGCAGTGCGTTTCAAACTGTTAGCTCTCGCTGCTGCTCTGTAAAACTGTGAGCCCGTGTCAGATAAAGCTGTCGGAGGTTATTCACCGGCTGTTAACCTCTACATTCTCTCAGTGACTTTAAACTCAGTGTTTCTTCTGAACATACACGATGGCTTCTAATGAAACCCCCTATGGCTTCTAATGAAACCCCCTCCCCATTGGCCCTCAATTACGACTTGGCGTACTACAAGTGCAATCCATGGTAGGATAGGCACGAAAAGGAAAGCATGGAAAATTTTATAATTTTTCGCAATATTTTTTTCCCGAAATTTTGTCTTTAAAAATTTATTTCTTGGAAAACATTTTTAGTTTTAGATAGACGCATTAATTAGGCGTCGTTTAAGGTATCAGTTGTAAGAATCGATGGATAAAAAGCCCAGTTGCAGCCGTTTAACCAAAACGATTCAAAACTCATTTTACCTGAAAAATACCGTGCGGTACGTTGCTGCCAACTGCCAAAATCGGATTAAAGGAAACAAAAAGGACCTGGTATGGACAGTTAATTTTAATGTCCAATGCTGTGGAGGAAACCAGACCCTGGAACTCATTCCGACTGGTTACAACAAATTTTCTTGGTAACAGCAAGAGTGAAGATTACGTTAATATCGTTCAAGACCTAATTCAGAATTATGAAAAAATTGGAGCCAACATGGCACAAAAAATCCATTTCCTGCACTCCCACCTAGACTTTTTTCCGACAAACCTAGGGGAGGTTAGTGATGAACACGGAGAGAGATTTCACAAACAATTAAAAGCTATGGAACGACGGTATTAAGGTGTTTGGAATGAGAATATGTTGGGGGACTATGTGTGGGCTCTCATAAGGGAATCTGTTTCGAATGACATAGGAAATAAAAAGCAGTAGAAAACCAAATTTATCACATACGTTTAAAAACTTTTAGCAACATACCACCAAATAAAAAATTTGTATATCCTTAAAATTGACTGAAAAGACTAAAAATTACTGATTTTTGTATGGGTTAGGGAATGAAATTCTATATCTCAGGTATTTCTACCTAAGAAAGTAACTGTCAACAATTTAATTAACATTTAATGCCAAAGGAACACGTTCAGGTACCAAAAATTCAACCAATCTTCAACCAATCTACATGTTAGATGTATAATATACATTGCAGATGTAGATAGCAGATGTAGCAAAAAAAAATTATTTTTTTTAATTTTTAAATTCTAAAAAATCATATGCTAAAAAATGTATATACTGACTGAGTACGGGTATAAGTAGAGTCGCGTCCCCAGAAGCGACTCACACGTTCCTTCTCGTTTTTATTACCATAAATTTAAAGTAAAGCGATGACATTATTTAATTTTACATTTCACATATTCTAAAGTTTTTAGGTGAAAAATAAAAGGATACAAAATGTTAGCAAAACTATACTACTATACTTTAAGAATTCTGTTGCTTTATGCTACAACAGATGTATGCATATTTGCTTCAAATGACCCCTACGCTGCTCTTGGAATTAATAGTCTAGCGACTACACAAGAAATAAGGAAGGCATACAAACAGATGGCAAAAGAGTGGTAAATACGACTGACCGGTTATATAAAATGCACTTGTTTTATTACATAGTTTTTTAAATATTACAGGCATCCAGACAAAAATCAGGTTCCTGGAGCTGAAGAAAAGTTTGTTGAAATAAAAAAGTCATATGAGCTTTTGAGTGATTCTAATCGAAGACGAATCTATGATCGACACGGAGTAATTGATGAAGACTCTCATTATTTGCAACAAAAGCATGATTATAGTGGATATGATCGTTTCGCCTCCGATCAAGCTGAGGATATTTTTGGAAAACATTTCATTATTGATCAAGACATTGTTTTATACCATAAACTTTCAGTAACAGCAAATTATTTCGAGAACACTATTTTGATAAAAAGTGCAAAACAATTACATATTATTATGTTTTACAATGACTGGTGTTTCCAATGTACGCGACTAGTTGGAGCATTTAAAAAGTTAATTGATGTCCTTGAACCTTTAGGTAAGCTTTTACATCCTAATCAAGATATGTTCTTCGTAAGGTATTCAAAACTTTTATTTTAGGTATTTATTTTTCAACTATAAATGCTGCCCACGAACCGTCAATTCTTCAAAAAACTGGAGCAAACGAAATTCCAAAAATGATTCTTGTTTTAAATGGTCAAGTTTTTGTATATCGAGACTATTCTTTTACGCCACAAAAAGTTGTAGGTAAGTGGATTACACTAAAATAAAACGATGGAAAGATAAAAATAGCAGTACATTTATTACTGTTCTTGCAGAGATTTGTGTAACATACAGAAGACGAAACTTTAAATAATATTCTTGATAAGCAAGAACATTTGAGTTAAGCCATGTCCTTCCCGTCTGTTTCTATCTTTACTAGTTCCTTAGTTTTGGATATATTCTTCTCTTTGTAAATTTGTACTATTGATTATTTTTTTATTTTTTATGCCGACGCATGTCGATCTTGCAATATCACAGCAGAAACTATTTCTGTCACTGCAGATCTTTTTAACTTGAAAATGCACCTTGAAAGGTGGAACGCCCACAATTTCATTGTACCTCTACCATTCTAATATATGTTCTGATAAGCTTAACACTTTTAATGAAAAAAAAATACTAAATACTACTAAATACTAAATTCCATTTCAAAGTCTTTTTGCATACAAAATACAATATAAACCAAAAACAACCCCATCTACAACTACGTGAATTGGAGTGATCCAATTATAGTAAAAAGACGCTGAAAAGCGTATAGAAATGATTTTCTAATTATAAAGTACGTGAATATTTAATAATAATAAGTTCCACAAATAGAACCGCGCTCCAACGAATGAGCGTAAAAGCTCCATAGAACTAAGAAATAGTGTTTTCGATTTCCATTACCGTGATTCGCAAATAATTTCAACGAAGAGCAAGTCTACTTAGCTGACCATTGACAGCCGCACATTCATGCTCCCTCTCTCTGTCGAATGGCCTACCACTCGCGAGCTCGTTGGGAACCGGTTTCAAAACGTAAAAATCTGGCGATTTACGAAAACCGGATCACGCTTTATTGCGATTTGACTGTGAAGTCGTAATTTTTTGCGATTTGCGATAACCAGAGCATGGCTGATTATTCTATAATCTATTGTACGGAACTATCTCAGGCTGGGATAGGCATCTGTCCGTCCAGGGTCCTGAATTACAAGTTATTTCGCGAAGACTTTATTGGGTGAATAAGCGGAGTGGCGTCTCAGGGGGTTCCAACAATCACTTCCCAAGAAAAGACAGGGCAAGTCCAAGTTCTTCGAGTGCTTCTTTATTCGATATAGTTACAGGGAGATCGCGTGCAAAAAGCCGTTTTGCCTCGAGTGTATAAGCGAAGTCAAGTTAAAGTCGAAGTCAGCTGCCGGCAGCTGTCGGCAGCGGGGGCGGGTGCGTGAGCGTGGCGAGTCTGAGCGCGCGAGAACACGTCACCGGGGGGAAAAATGCTCATAAGCGTGAGAGCGAGAGCGAGGGCAACAGCTTGCGTAGCTAGAATGCTAACAGTGGTGTGGCTGGAATGCCCACAGAGCTGTTGCCCCGCCAGCGCCGTCCTCGCTCTGAAGGACTTAGTAGTTGGTAGGACTTAGAACCTCGGGAACGTCTGCTCTCCATGGTGCGGTCGAAACGGGATCGAGAAGCCGAGCGTTAGGCTTAGGCGTTGAGCGTTAGGATGAGGTTTGGAAGAACTAGAATCTTCTGCGGAAGGTACTGGTCGATTGACGTCTGGCCTAGCTGTGGAATTGGGTACGGATGTGGAATTGGGTAATGATGTGGAATTGGGTACGGATGTGGAATGTGACTCGCTGGAAGCTGGATTGCCACAATGCAGAAGCGTGTGGTGTCGTCCTCCTGCAATTGTGGGAGCTTTGACATTCTCGAAGCAATTGGCCTTTTGCGAAGCAATTTAGGCAGAGCTGCTTTTGCTGTATGCAGCTGGAGCGAGCATCAACGGTCATTTGTAGGAAACGAGGACATAGTCGGATTGGGTGATTCTCCTTGGAACAGAGATTACACGTGCTCTTGCTCGGATTCACGTTGCTTTGGAACGAGTGCGCTGTCCTTGGAACAGGACTGCCTTGGGAACGGAACGGATTGGACTGGCTTCGGGAGGATGGCGGATTCTGACTGCCTTTGGCGGGTGGCGGGTTCGGAGCGCCTTGGGAAGTGGAAGAGTCGCTCTCGATAGCCTCTAGCGTTAGGTATCTCTGAGTCAGGAAGGAGTCGATTTCTTTCCAGGGCGGCACCTCCTTTTTGTCCGTCACGGACGCTTCCCATAACGCCCGGCTCAACTTTGGCAATTTGGAAGCACAGATGGTACACAATTGTCGGTACAGACGTTGGAGACTTTATAGATCCTTCAAAGCACGACGCACTCGGAAGTTACGCGGGGCAGGAGAGGAACGGTCACACTGATTTTGGCAATATTTTGCAAATACTGTTGGTGCGGGCTCCTCCGTTTACCTTTTTACGCAGTCGTGATCAGAACTGGGTTATTTGCGGTGGACGGCAGACGGAATGACGGAATAGTTTGCTCTATATGTCGGTTTGGATCGACAAAGTGCAGATAAACCTAGTCGCCGTAAGCGTTACCGGAAGCTGCAGTCAAGAATATGACTGCGGAGTGAGCGCTGGAGAACTATCGGGAGAAATACCGAAGGAAAACAGAAAAAATCCAAAAAAGATGACGAAAAGGTTTAAATTATAAATCGTAGATCGTCCAATTTATTTCTTGTAGTGTCGGTGTGTTTGTTTGGAAATTGTCAGACGAGAGTAAGGTTTTATTTATATTTTTTATTTATTTATTTGGATGAACGCAAGATTCGGTTACGACACCGATAGATTTTGGATTGCGCCACCTCTAACTCCCGACACACCAATTTGACATTTGGCTATGTAAAAGGTCAAATAAGTACGGACAATGCGCCGTGCCTTGGTTGAGGATAATTTCTTGTGTATTTGGAGATACTATTCGTTCGTGTGGCGACCAAAACGTATGGTTGGAACGCGTAAATTGCTCGGAATCGCAGAATTTTTATATTTATCTGTGCCCCTATGCGCGGAGTATGTTCGGTAGTATGGAGCGCGTTTTTTTTTGCGGGGTGTAGTATTTTTATGTATGTACGTTATGTTTATATGTATGTATATAGTTGGCAACATGAATATATTGCCGCCAACTATAGGCCTGTCTCCAGCACCACCGTAAATGCCTGCCATGAATTTGCTAGTTATTCCGCGAGGGTGTGGAACATAGCTAAAACAGGGTTGATGAATCAGCTGTGTTTTGTAAACAGTGTCAACTGTAAAATTCTGCTAAAATTAAAAAAGGAAAGAAATGCACTCTGATGATAAAATGATTGTGTTGGTGACGGCATATATTGTTGCAAAACAAAAAAAAATAATTTTCATCTCCCTTTTTGGTTTTGCGGCCAGTTTTAGCCTAAAACTTGCACCATTGACTTCAGGAATAATTGTTGAACATATATTCCTGAGCTGGGTGTCAGCTGTTCTCTCAGTCCACATACGGTGCCGATAGGCAACTGTCGATATAAATCTGTAGATTCCGCTCGTGTTGCTGGATGCACACTCCAGGAAAACGTAAAAGAAAAATTCTTGGCACAGTTATTCTTTATATGATCCGCGGTGCTGGATACTATGGAAATATATTTATATGTAGATGGATGAAATTAAAACACTTTATTTATATTCTCCTTGCACTTGGAGTGTGCCAATGTATATGTTTATTGGGGTGGGTTTTGTATCAAATGCACTTGCGGAATGTGCGTATGTATGGGTTTATGTATTTGGATCTTGAATATTTGGAGATCAGCTGCGGAGTTGTTGTTGTGAGCTGGAATGTACTTGCTGAATATTTTTTCCTTTTAATTATTGTCAAAATTAATGCACAGACAAAACGGAATTGAAAAACTACCGTAACACTGGTAGTTGGAGTTGAAGGAACGGAGAACGGTCGGAATAGCCAATAATATGGCGGTATCGAAAAGAAAGAAGCGACACGGAAAACGGATGGCACAGAAAGAAGAAATAAGTACATATATAAGAATATATATATGTACCTATATCGCGGAACTCGGACTTTGCGGAAATTGGAAACACAAATCGCGATTGGAAGGGATTTGTGGGACACGAAAGTCGTACTTATCTTAGGATCCTCTGGTGGTGATGTCGAAGCGCCGATGCTTAAAGGCTGGACTCCTTATAGGGAAGGCGACGGGGAGAATCCGGCTCGAAGGACCAATGAATAAGCGGAGAGGCGTCTCAGGGGGGTTCTAACAATCACTTCCCAAGAAAAGACAGAGCAAGTCCAAGTTCTTCAAGTGCTTCTTTATTCGATATGGCTACAGGGAGATCGCGTGCATAAAGCCGTTTTGCCTCGAGTGTATAAGCGAAGTCAAGTTAAAGTCGAAGTCAGCTGCCGGGGGCTGTCGGCGGCGGGGGCGGGTGAGTGAGCGTGGTGAGTCTTAGCGCGCGAGAGCGCGTCACCGGGGGGAAAAATGCTCATAAGCGTGAGAGCGAGAGCGAGGGCAACAGCTTGCGTAGCTGGAATGCTAACAGTGGTGTGGCTGGAATGCCCACAGAGCTGTTGCCCCGCCAGCGCCGTCCTCACTCTGAACATTGGGAAAACCAGGAACTCTGACAGCAACTGAAATAGAATGGTTAGCGGAATCACAACAACACTTTTGTTCTTTGAGTTTTGATATTTTTATTTATTCATCGGGTTCTTGTTAAGGCAACTTAGTTGGTGTATTTCTTTGATTAACCGCGACGTGTTATTTCTCCCGATCGACTGCCGGTCGACTATGGCTGATGGACTGCCTATCGACTCGAAAGCGAACTCGAAAGTTAACTGCCGATTTGCGAACTGCTGGCGAACTCCAAGTGAACTGCTGGCACTTTTGATCGGCACCTTTCCATGCTATTGGTTGTATTTTGCTGCGTGGGTGATCGCTTTTCCTTGATGTTCGATGGCAGGTATGCTGAGGTTGGTAGTTATTTTTCTTTATTTGGTCTCTTGCGTGCTTTTAGTTCTTATTCTTAAGTCGTGGCTAGGGAGGCTGTGGAGGGCTACTGGTAGGGCTTGTATTTTTCCGAGTTCTCCTGTCCTTTGGCTTGTGCCGAGTCTTCGGATTCGTCGGTATTGACCTCGTAACTTTGACGTGGCT